ACTAATATGCATGAGAAGAATACACTCAAAAGTACTTTTTAACACAAAATATAGTAACATTAGGTTATAAACTTTAGGAACTACAATGATACTAAACCATGTTTTAAATATTCATAATTTATTTTACACTTTTTAATTTTAAAATTAGTATAAAAACGTTTTACAAAGTTTTAGACTAAACTGAGTGTTTATTTAACTAAAAAAATAAAGAAGAATAAATATATAAAAACTATGTTTTCTTGTAGATATTTTATTCTTGATAAAAAATGTTGTAAATGTTATTTTACTCCTTTCCCTATTTTTCTTTCTATTAAGTGAAAGAAAAGAAAAAAATAATATATATATATATAGATACTACTCATTTTCTCTTTTCCAAGTTGTCTCGTTTAATTTTCTCTTAAACATAACAGTCAGATTTGAAACTTTCTAGAAACATCTTATTGTCAACGTTATGGCAAACATTTGACTAAAGATTTGTTCAATGACCCTTTGAAAATTCCATTTGTGAGTTTGATTATGCCAAACAAAATGAAGTGTAAAATAAATAAATAATTTTCTAGTTTTTTATATTAATTAATAAACATAATTTAATAAAATCTTTTTTTTTTAATATTTAGGAATGTGCTGTAGGAAATATAAATTGTTAGCATCATGGTTAAAAACTATTTGATATATATACTATTTTTTATTTATATTTTATGGAATTCTAAGATTGATATATATGGTTTCAATAGAGTTTTATTTTGGATATATAAGTATTTTTTTTAAATACTCTTTTGTGAAATGATTTATTAGAAGCATTATTTTAAAATGTTATTACCTAACTTTTTAATATGTTTTTATTTATCATCAGAGAAACTATATTATGTAAAGCAAAAAATTATTATTTTGTAAAAAGAAAATATAAATTATTTTTTAACTTGACAAAACATTTTCTTGATTCTACGTATTTTTGTATGTAATGGAGAAATTAAAATTATGTAATTAAATTTATATAAAGTTTATTTAAAGTTTTATGTAATTTTATTTACATTTTATTATCATTTGTTTTGTCTAAACCTTTTTATATGGATCATATGTAAAAACTATTATACTAATAATAACGTTTATAAATAATTTTTCATAATGTTTTTGCTTGGACATAAAATAAGATAATGTTAAAAAGCAATTTAATTAAATTATATGTTTACATATATTATTCGTTGTAAAAAAATATGCAAAATGTAAGTTTAGTCAATCATTCACAATTTTTTTCATTCTTTCTTCTTTTGGATTCTTTTCATGGTTTCTACTAAAATATTCATTTACTGTGACAACAATATTTTTATTTATTAAAAAATTGCGAAAAATAATTTACATATCTTTTATAAAAAAAATACTTACAAGGATTTTTTTTAATGTTCCATATTAAACACAGAAAACTAATATTACTTATAATTTTAAAAAAATCTCTTACAAAATTCCCCTAAATATATAAATCGTTCCCAATTAATTGTATGTAAATTCAGAAACTAATATTGCAAATATATTTAGGTAGGATTATTGATCTCAGTTTTTTTATTCTTATAATTTATTTTGTTAATTAAGTTTATCATGATATTTTAAATAAAAAAATTATATTTAAAGTTTAATAAAATAAAAATAAAATAAACAAAACATATTATGACAATAAAAAATTGAAAATAATTTAAAAATTTGGAGATTAGAATTTTATGGGGCTTACCATAAATTATAATTTACACTTAAATTTGTTAATGGAACTTACCAATTATGATTGTATTAATATTTATTAGATAATTTGAGAGCATGTAATTAATACAAATATAAAACTTTTTTGCGCTTCTCACATTAGCATTAATTAAATTGCCAAATTTTTAACATTTTACCGTAGTAAATTCTCACTCCAAAACTTTGAATTGTTTGGTGAAAGTGAAAGAAAAATGTGGAACTAAATATAGGATTCTAAATGAAGTACTATTGCTTTCAAGTCCAATAATGATATAGGATTCCCCCTCCTGCACTAAATCTTCTCATTAATTAGTGTAACAAAAACCACTGTTCATAAATCGTCCATCAAGTGGTTTCGATGACTTTAATGAATGTATGTTGATGCTTTTTGAACATCAATGGCAGAAAATGCTGTGGAAAACTTCAAAGTTTTGGTCCCCTATTCCATGGAATAGTCCATGTGAAGATGTATACATGACTCTGGTTTGGAGGAAAAGGAGGACCCCCCTCCTCTTTTTTTCAATAGGGTTTGCTGATATAAGCTTGCGTATGCTTGGGTTTAACCTAATCATAATACCTTTTTATGACAGTTGACCTTTGGTCTTCATTGTCTATAATTCATCATTAATTCTTAATAATCAAAACTTAATTATCAATTAGACTGTTTTTAGTCAAAGATTACTCTTTCTAACGTGCTAGACGAATCATCCTATTTAAGAATATTTGACTATGTCTCTCTTAACTATAGTTGCCTTTTAAAAAAGGATATATGAAAAAAAAAATTGTATACTGATTATTTTTGAAAAATATAAATAAAATAATTGTTCTCTTAAAAAAAAAATTAAATATATTAAAATATATACTTTTCATCTCATAATATATTAGTTCAATTAATAATCTAACTAAAATAGAGTACATAAATATAAATTAATTTCACCTTACAATAGAGATAGGTACGTTAAAATTTATTTTAGAACTGATACAAAATTTAATAGGGTACATAAATATAAATTAATTTCACCTTACAATAGAGATAGGTATGTTAAAATTTATTTTAGAACTGATACAAAGTTTATTATATTATTATTTATTAGGGTAAATATTTAGTTTTGTAAATTGATTAGTAAAAAGTGTTTTTTTTATATGATTTTTTTAATTAGTAATTATTTCACTTAAAAAAATATAAAAACATTTTTAAAAGAAAGGATTTTTTCATTAAACTAATACGAGATTTGATGTAAAATTTGAAATTTACATCAAATTATAATAATACTTGTATATTTTCATTGAGTTTTTGGAGGTGATGATTCCGTCAAAATTTATAATTTATATTCAAATTTTGATTTCTAAATTTAATGATTATTTTTAAAAAATTTATAATTTATATTAATATTTATGATTTTAGTTTTAAAATTTAATGATTATTAAATATATGAGATTGTATATTTATTATCTTTATTTTTTTATATTATTTGATCTTTTTATATTCAACAATAACAGAAGAATCACACAATGATTAGGTGTGTATTGTACTTCTTTATAGGATTAATATAAAAAACCATCAATTTATATTTTACATATTTTACATTGATATCAAATATTAATAAAAAAAATAAAAACTCTATGCACATAAGATAATTAAAAACATGGAAGACGAATTCAATTTTAATTATATAACGTTTAATAATCCAATTCCATTTGAAAACCCCAGTGATATATATAGGTTCAAAATACTATGAAGTAGATAAGAAATAATAATAAAAAAAACTTGTAAAACCCTTAATTTTCTTGTATGACAAAATATTTTAAATACCATTTAATGTTTTGCTGATCAAGTACAAAAATTAAGCGTTATGTAATGACAATTTATATTTTTGTTATTTTTTTAATATGTCAGAAATCAAGATGTAGAATATTAAATTTGGAATGTTTAAAAGCTTTAACTAATTAAGTACTATGAGGTTAGATGAGTTTTATATTTATTGTGAAGTGAAGTTCAACCAAACCAATCTTATCTCTTGTAGATTAGTTCAGGTTAGGTAATAAGACCATTTAATAAAACATTACTTCTGAAATTGTGAAATTTCAAAAAGAAAAAACATCTAATAAAACCATTTTTTTTTTTGTTTCTTCTTCTAAATTCGTTATTAGGGTGTTGATTAGTATTCATTGAAGGGGCCTTAGACACTAAACAATGTGGAGGAATCAAAATATGACTGCAATGAAAAGTCAAAGTTGGCTCATGGTGACAACACCATTGTTGGTGTATCAATATTAATGTTGGGGTTGTTGTTGGTGGCATAATTGGTTTATTGGGGGTTTGGATGATGATGGTTGTGTAGAGATCTAGTTCATCATTGCTTGTATAATTATTTTGATAAATTATCTATTTGACTTATTTATTAGGTCCAAGTAAATATAATTTATATTTCATTTAATTTTACGAGATTAATATTAAATTATAATGAGATTTATATCAATTTCTAATATTATATTATAAAATAATTTTGGAATCTAATTCAATTTTTAAAAACTAGGTGATAAGTGAGATGTAGGTTGATTTATATAATATTATTTAATTATATTTTTCAATATTTACGTGGAGTATTTTACATCTTAAAAACGCGATAAATGACTAAAATTGAATAAAAGGAAAAATGCTTACAAGATGGTGAGAAGAAAATAAAAGAAAAAGTGAATCTTAATTCTTAATCTATCTGACGAATGAAGATCTATGTTTCCCACGTAGCTGATTTTCGACAGAATTATATCGTTGTGTGTAAATCATTTCCGTCGCTAATAATATGCATCAAACTTTCTTGGATCGTTCGACAAAATAACAAGCATGGGCGATACGCAATTAGTTAAGAGGCAGAACGATGAATGATGAACATTCCATCATGCTTCCATGAAAATTTTAATAAATTGGTATGAACATTTGACTCTGAAATTGAAAAAATGGGATAAAAAGAAAACCAAAGTTTCATTCATAGTCTTGGTCATGGTCGTGAAGCGTGGCCATAATGAATGGGAGAAAAGAGGGAGAAGACATTAGAAGATTTAGGTGAATTGGCCCACTAGTTAGTGCCTTTTCACTTTATCGTTTTCTCTCATGTGCCGCATTTTTTCTACCTTCAACATCAATGCCTACATGCCATCAATCTCATACCATAATTTAAAAAAAAAAAAAAAAACATCATTTTTGTTATTATTATTTTCACTCTAGAGAGTCAATACAACGTTAGATAATTTCTCATTTCGCGTTTTCAATCATGGCCATGTTTGAAGAAATGGTGGGATATCTATTTTGGTCTTGCAAGCCAAAAAAAAAATCAATCACCCAGAAAAGAAAAATGTGGATTTTCGATAATGAAAAAAAAAAAATGAAGAGAGGTGATGATGGTAATACGTGGAATATTTTGGGTCAGAAAAGTCTATGGGAATATTATAACTTATTATTGAAAGTTTAGAAAAAATAATCACCGTTCACGTGTTGGTGTTCTTTCATTAGGGTCTATAGTTTTTTTTTTTTTTTTATAAATATTCCCTCAAAGGAATTAGGTTGTTAATGCGATAACTAACAGTTGAGACTATGTTAAGAAGAGGAAAAAAAAAATCATATGTGGTTTAATGTTTGGTTTGTAATTTTGAATTTGGGAGTGTATGTTTGTCTTTTTGTTAGATTAGAAGAGTCTTAAAAAAGTATATGTTTGTTGGAGGATATTAAGAGACAGATTTATCCGATTGCTTCCGTTGAAACGCATGTAAACCAAAACGGCAAATTTAGTTGTAATAAAATAGAGTTAATCGTTACCATTTAATTAAAATTTTTGAGTGCCAAAATTCTAAAATGGATAATAAAGGTGAGAAATTTGTGCAAGAGGATGGATGTGCATGAGCATGAATGGATGGGATGGGATGGGATGGGATGGGCATGGGAAGCAAATCTTAAAAGGGAATCAAAAGAAATTGGCCTCTCTTTGCCACCACTCTCCCCCACCTGCCCAAGATATGGTAAGCGCCACATGATTTCACACCCAGGGGAAAATAAAAGGCACCATTGCTGACCTCACCTGTATCTCTTGAAGGGATTTTTATGGGGCCCACTCACACACCTTTCTCTCTCTACTTCTCTTTCCTCTTTTGCCTCGTCCTACTTTCTAATTTCACAACCATTTCCTCTCACACTGCTTCTATATACATATATGTATAAATAAACCTTCCTCGCCTCCTCTCTCAACCCTCAACTACCCAAAAAATATTCACTAAGATTTATTTCTTTTTTTTATTCATTAATTATTTCTTCCTACTCTATATCTTATATTTTCCCATTGCTTCCCCGGTAATTCAAGATCAACTTGGAAAATTTGCAAGATTTGGGATGAAATCTGGTCGGATCTTGCTTTGTGGGATGGGGATTTTGGTGGGTCTTATTTCAATGCAGAGCTCTTCATCTCCATCCCCATCTTCCAATCTCGTCTTCCTCTCCTAACACTCACCAAAAACCATTCTTCTAACCACTCCTTTTTTTTCTTCCAATTCTCACCTTCTTCCTCTCACTTCATCATTTTTAATCCACTTCCACCTTTCCACAAATGGGGATGGCTGCAGAGTCACAGTTTCATGTGTTGGCTGTTGATGACAGCATCATAGATAGGAAACTCATTGAGAGACTCCTCAGAACCTCTTCCTACCAAGGTACTATCTTTTAGGCCAAACACACTAACATCTTGGAGATAATTGATCTTTTTTTCTTTCTTGTGTACCATGTTGTCTGATTAGAAGGACCCCCCCTCTTTTTTTTCTCAATGGCAGTTACTACAGTTGATTCTGGTAGCAAGGCTTTGGAGTTTCTGGGGTTGCGTGAGAATGATGAGAGCAACCCAAGTACACCATCTGTTTCTCCCAACAATCATCAGGTATGGTGTTTTTCTTTTTTTGTTAGAATGCATAAAAGTGTTTTAATTTAAATTTAATAAACTTCATTTTTTTTAGCCATAGATCAGTTTCTTTTTCTGGGATTCTGAAATTGTTTTGGAATTTTCTGTCTTTATAGGAGGTGGAGGTGAATCTTGTTATTACAGATTACTGTATGCCTGGCATGACAGGGTATGACTTGCTTAAGAAAATCAAGGTATGCTTGCTTGCTTTGGTTTCTATTCCTGTCTCATCTCTCTTTTAACTATTATATTCCCCACTTTTCTTCTCAGTTTTTGTGGCCAAGATTGTTTTTCCTTTTTGCAAAGGCCCTTGTAGAGGACTTTCCATTTTGAAAGTGTGCATTCATTCCAATTTGATGTTGTTGGTTAAAGTTGTCAAGTTGGACTAGTTTCATTTCTCACCACCACACACACACAAAAAAGATCGAGTATAATAATCTCCTGGAATAATTCGGCTATCTGCTTTTTAGTTTTCCACCGAAAACAAATCAGGTTCAATAAGTGATCGAAAGATTTTTCCTTTCCTAAAGGTCTTACTTTAGTAGCTGGATTTGATTTGAGTGAAAAATCGTTTGAGAATCTATGAAAATTATGTCTTCCCTTCACTTATTCCACCTGGAACCAACAGGCTCAAAAACTTCATAGGATTCTCTCTGATATTTCAGGAATCTTCATCTTTGAGAAACATACCAGTGGTGATTATGTCATCTGAGAATGTGCCTTCAAGGATTAGCAGGTAAGAAGAGGAAACATTTAATTCCTGTTTTTTTTTTTTTTTCTGGTTTAACTTTTTCCTATGAACATATATTTTGAAGTGAAATTCTGATGAATATCTGAAACTGACAACAGATGCCTGGAGGAAGGAGCAGAAGAATTTTTCTTGAAGCCTGTGAGGCAGGCAGATTTGAACAAGCTTAAACCCCACATGAAGAAGACCAAATTGAAAGATCAAAAGCAGGGAACAGCAGAAAAGCTTGAAAACTCAGAAGTTCTACAGAAACAGGCACAACAAATCATCCAAAATGACCACCAACAAGAACCAAAACCCCAAGATCCTCAGCCAGAGTCAGAGTCACATCCACAACCAATTATAGAACAACAGCAACAGTCACTACAACAAGCCAACAGTAACAAGAGGAAGACCATGGAACAGGGGCTTACACCTGAGACTGACAGAACAAGACCAAGATACAGTGGCATAGCCACTGTGGTATGATAAAAAATCACTGCCAAATAATTTTCTTCAATTTAAAAAATGTAATTCCCATATAACTTTTTTTCTTTAAAAAAAATTAACTTCAGTGTTGGTTAATATAGGCTCTATAGGACTGTAGTAGAGTTGTTTCCTGTACACATTTTCCTGGAAATATTTCCTTCCAATTTTGCTACATCCATATTAATGAAAATGAAAAAAAAAAATATTGAATTGAGTAAGAAATCTGATACCAAATTTCAATTTCAAGTCTGAAAGAATTATGATTGCTTCCATGTTAACCACCAACACGCTTGAATTGTTGGTTGATTGAAATCTGTTAACAAAACCCACAATAACAACTGATTCTAACAAATCACCATCTATGTCTAAAGCAAAAGACAAATATATGAACAGAAAAAGTTTTAGCAATCACTTCATTTACCATTGTGTAGAATTAGCATGGCAATTGGGCACGTTTTACCACCCTCGACTTTTTTAACCATCCCTGTTTTTGATTCCCGTCCGGGTTAGAAATTAAGTCTTCATCCTTGTTTTCGTTGGGTTTCGGTCCTTGTCCTCGTCCCGTCCCCGATTTATATTATTTTTAAAAAGATAATTATAATTATAATAAATTAATTTTACTTCTATTTTTTATATATAAATAAATATTTATAATTTATAATTATTATTAATTAAATATATATTTTAATTTATTATATTTATATTAAAATATGTAGGTAAAAGAAAATTTTAATCATTTTTTATTTATATTATTATTATTATTATAACACTATATTCAAATATTTAAATATTTATAACATTATTATTATAATACTCGTATTCAAACATTTGATTATATGTATAAGTTAATTCATTTTTAAGTTTTCATCTAAAAATATGAAATATATAGTTTATAAGGAAATATTTAATAAGTTAATTCTTATTCAATTAGTTCAAGTAATAAAAATTTAAATTATCAATTCCTTTAATCCTTTAAAATATAATTATTTTATTAAGATAAAATTTGATAGATGATAAATAAGAATAATAAGATAAAAGAATATGACATAATAAATCCTAATAAATATAAATTATAAATAAAATAATATTAGTTACTACTAAGATTTATGTAAAATATTTAGAAAAAGATAAAGAATAAAAAAAGTTAACTTTGTGTTCATCAAATTTGTTGAAAAGATTGAAAAAAAAACAAATTCATAGGAGAGATTAAGGAAATGTGAAAAACTGAAAGGTAAGAGAAATAATAATGTAATAAATTAATTGATATAAAAGATTAAAAAAGACAATAAAATTAAAAAATTGGATAGAAGAAAAAATTTGGTGGAATATAAAAAAATGACCTTATATATAATAGAAAAAGAAAAGAAAATAATTTTAAAATATTAATATTTTAAAATTTAAATATAAAGTTAGGAGTGCGAGTGAACGAGGTCGAGATTGCATTACTCATCCCCGTCCCCGCGCCCCAACTTTTTAAAACGGGAAAACCCGAACCCACCCCGTCCTCGTCCCCAGTCAACTCAAGTTTTCTCCGTCAAATTCAGGACGGGACGGATCGGTCCCCATGAGGACGAGTTTAATTGTCATATCCTATGTAGAAGCAAACCCCATGAATGAAAAGTGTATAATTAATTTAATAGACTGGAAAAAAAAAAGTTACCAACATAAACTCCACTAAGGCAAAATAACTAAATTATGATATGGTGGATGAAAGGTATGGTTTTGGCATTTTCTGTTACTGATATTTTGTTTACTATTTTTTTAGGGTTACTTAAATCTCGTTTCTTATTCTCTCTTATTTACCTAACTAACGGATTAAAGATATTATTTTCTATTTATGTACCAAATAAAAATTTAATTCTGCTTATCATTTTTGTCTTTGGGTGGAAACTGTAAACCTGTTTGGGAAATTTGTTGGGTGTATTTATTTAGTGAAGCACGAATTCATTCTTTAAAGTGTCTTTTGTGTATTACATTTGTTTGTGTTAGGAGTTGTAACAAGCGATGAGAACAAGATAGGAAACCCACCACAAACCTATAACTTCATCTATCTTAGTCCAATTAATGAATTAGGGTATCGAGTTTTGAAGTATAATTATTAAAAACTATTTTTTTTTCAATTAACTCACTTTTCTCGTATTTAGTTATTTAATTTCATTTTTATTTATTTTTCTTTCTTTCAAATATTACATCTATCAGATAATTTTGCTTACTATTTTAGGATAAGCAATTTTATAAAATTTTAAGTACATTGAATCAAATATTTTTAAAATATAATATTATTATGAATTACTTGTTGTATAAAATAATAATTATTCCTGTTAAATAATATATATATATACATACCATCACGGAGTTATAAGCCTTGAAAGAAAAAAAATCTGAAAGTTAGGACCATATCCAAATATTATTTCATAATAGATTGAACATAACTTGTTCAACATAACTATGAAAGGAAATATTAGAGTCAATTTTCTTAAATTATGAGATATAATTTTCTTACCGATGTACTAAAATTCTTCCCCTTATTCCATTATCAATTAAAATAAAAAATTAAATATATGAATTGTGGTGATAAATTCTTTAATAGTGACTATTATCTCTTATTTATCATATATATTAAGTATTCCGTCATAATTTTTTTTTTCATGAATAAATCATATGTTTACTTTTTGTCACGATTAAATGAGTTTTCTCAAAATAAATAAATATGGGTATAAAATAAATGAGAAAAAATTAAACTAAATTAGAGTTTTAAAATAAAAATATTTACAATTATGATTAATAATAGAATCAAGTCTCATTCATCCTTCTTACATTATTTTTTATTTTATTTAATGACATGTTTTTACTTAAAACAATTGACAATATCAATTCAGTAATGCTCATTTTATTCTCTTTAACATGTCATGGTATGATTAGGTTTTTAATGTTGATGTGTTTACTTGGACTTCTACTTATTATTTTTAATTATAAATATCGTAACAAAGTTATTATAATGCAGCCTCAATAATCTAACAATTGGGTTTATAATTCTAAATTCAAATATAAAACTTTTTAATCATAATAGCCTTAAAATAAGAGACAAACTCAATTTCTATAATATAAACAGTAGTAAATGTTCGCTTTTTCCTATTCTAAGATACAATTTCACTAGTTAGCATAAAAATTACTAGGTGTAGTTTTTTGGTATTTGTGTAGTAATTGAAATTTAAATCAAAGTAAACTATCTATTTATATATGAATATGAAATCTTTTATTTCTTGAAAATATCTCATCATATTCTTTATAATTTTCCAATGATTAATATACGGATTACTCGATATCTTCTCAAATCTCTAACTACAAATACAATGTCAAGTATAATGCAAATATGTTAACATTTACGTGTTATCGTTTAAGATTATTTTTTGGTTATTAACTTAATACAAGTATGTTTCTTTTCACGTATAAAAATATCATCTACGTGTGAAATAAGAAAACAAACTTTACTCGCACTAACCTTCTAGCATATTCATTCATACATGGTGTTCTCTTCGTTACCTATATAACTTTTGAAACTTTAAATGTTATTTAAAATTTGTTTTAATCCAAATTTATTAAAATTGTATATTAAATACTCATCGTTACTTGAAAAGAATTTTTAAATTATTTTATATAAATTTCTTCTTTTACATCAACATTAAAGAATCTCACATTTATTTAATGAAATAAAAAGTATTTTATTAATATTAAAATTACTTAAAAAAAGATTTTCTTGAACATGGGAGAAAATGTCGTGCTCGTAGCCTACTACCTGGAATGCATCATTTGACAACAAAGTTTTGATTTTTGTCTTTTAATATTTCTTTTTTAGTTTTTCTTAATTTATATGGTAATTATCATTTTATTTAAATATGTATAAAAAATAGGATAAAAATTAAGAATAATTTTAAGAAAAGAAATATGATTTTTCAAGATAACTTAAAATTCCTATTTTATTTGAAAATTAAGGAATTTGTTAATACAATTCGAAGACTAGTTATTTTACTAAATAAAATAAACATTTCCTAAAAATATTTTTAGGATGAAAACTTAGATGAAAAAAAATGATATGTATTGATGTATTTAAATAAAAAATTATAATAGTACAAGATCAAAATCAGTACCCAAATGTAATCATAAATTCAAAACTAAAAAAATTAAGGTGAAAAGAATTAACATATATATTTTTTAATGGAACCATAGAATATTTTTTTAATAAAAACAAAAAAATTGTGAGTACCACATGATCGGTCTCTCTTTTGGACCCTCCATAAATTGTTTAAGTGGTTGTATCAGTAATCTAATATCTAACTATGGAAGGAATGTTGTTGGTCAAATGCCTCATTCATCCTATTACATTCTTAAGTAATTGATGTGTCTTTTTAAAAGTTTAAAATAATGATACAGTAATTAAATTATTTATCTAAACTGATCACATTTCATGTTTTTTAACACCATTTTATCTTAAAAATGTGTTTCGGGACAAGAGTATAAATACAATGTCATGACTTGATGTAGTTTCTTAGGAAGTTTTTTACTCAAAGTTTAGAGAAGAAGTATATTAAAGATGGTTATTTGTAATTAATGCATTGTTTATTTTTATTGATTTAGTGTAGTCAAAGAATCTGTAGCAATAGGATGCACGACTTCTTCTTCTACTTACATAAAAAACCATCCCTCTTCGTACTAAGTTTTCTAATCCATTTGGTTCTACATTTTTTTTGAATTACAAATTATATTGTTGTTGACTGTGTCATGCATCTGCACAATCTGTAATTGATTATGAAGGTGAGTTTAATTGATTATAAGGATTCACACGATGTTATGCATAATTGATTATGTGTTTTTATTCTTTAAGAAAAATTAAGTTTCAATTTTTGTTTTCAAAATTATAGAATAAGACAGGAAACATAATTGTAAAATATATGTTTAGTTAATTTTTTTAATAAGTTTTGAATAATAAAATTAAAGGCTTA